TTCATTTGCCGAAGTTGAAAATTAAGAATTTTAGTGGTCTTTCTTTTTTCTTTTCTTTTTTTTTAAATTTTTTTCTTTTTTTTTTTAAGATTTTATTTATTATTTGAGAGAGAGAATGAGAGAGAGAGAGAGAGCAGGAGAGGGGGGAGGGTCAGAGGGAGAAGCAGACTCCCTGCCGAGCAGGGAGCCTGATGTGGGACTCGATCCCGGGACTCCAGGATCATGACCTGAGCCGAAGGCAGTCGCTGAACCAACTGAGCCACCCAGGTGCCCTTAGTGGTCTTTCTTTTAGGTGACTTACCTGGATGCCAGCCAGCTGCTCTGGCAAATTAACTAAATCTGAAGCGGACATAGTTTCCCATTCCATCCTGGAGTTTCCCATTCCACCTTTTTTTTTTTTTTTTAAGATTTTATTTGAGAGAGAGAGAGAGAGTGAGCATGGAGCATGAGAGGGGGGAGGGTCAGAGGGAGAAGCAGACTCCCCGCTGAGCAGGGAGCCTGATGGTGACTCGAACCTGGGACTCCAAGATCATGACCTGAGACTGAGCCACCCAGGTGCCCCATCCTGGTCCTTTTTAACTAAAGGAGAAAAACTAGCCCATTAACAAACAGAATTAAATGCTACCCAGGTGGATTCATATCCAAAGGAAGACCAGAACTTTCTTTAAAAACATTTTGGAGTTGATTGTAATAGTCATGAACAGGTTCATCAGGCTTTGTTTGCAAACCTGAATTTTATTCCAAGGCTTAGGAAAAGGTACTGTAATTGCTCGTGAACATTTCCCAATGAGTGTTCTAGCACCTTGCCAAAAGTTAGGGGTTTCGTTATCTAAATCCCCTTCGGGATGTTTCCATCGGGCTAGTTTCATCCAGTGTTTGGCCTGGCCCTCACCAAGGAGCATGTGTACGAATTGATAAAAATCTGAGAAACCAGGTTGATAAGTTTGAATATGTTAAATTCTTTAGCAACCTATGGGGCCCTCAGTTACTTTAGGAAACTAACTATGGCTGGCAGTTTGGCCTTAGTTCAAGAAACATAGAAACTTGGGGTTTATTGAGATCCTCAGAAGAGTAAACTTTAGGGGCGCCTGGGTGGCTCAGATGGTTAAGCGTCTGCCTTTGGCTCAGGTCATGATCCCAGGGTCCTGGGATCGAGCCCCGAATCGGGCTCCCTGCTCAGCGGGAAGCCTGCTTCTCCCTCTCCCACTCCCCTGCTTGTGTTCCCTCTCTCGCTGTGTCTGTCAAATAAATAAAATCTTTAAAAAAAACCCACAACTATAAAGGGGCAAGTTTTAATAGGTTTAAGGGAGGAGAGAGTGGGGAGAGGTTTGGAGGAAAAGTGAGGTTGGAAGAATAGAGGAAAATGGCACAACACCTGTGCTCAACAGGTGGCTGCCACCTGTCTCGAAACAAGGAGGGCGGGGGCTTCAGAAGCAGTTTTGACTTCTTTCAGCTGTTTGCCTCAGTTAATTTCAAAGTAGTATTTTGCAAAGAGGCAAACCTAGAATCCTGACATTTGGGAGCTTCAAGGTACCAATTAAAATAGACATCCAACTCAGTTTTTTCCCCTTTTTAAGGGCCACAGCTTTCTTTTTTTTTTTTTTAAGATTTTATTTATTTATTTATTTGACACAGAGAGAGAGACAGCAAGAGAGGGAACACAAGCAGGGGGAGTGAGAGAGGGAGAAGCAGGCTTCCCGCTGAGCAGGGAGCCCGATGAGGGGCTTGATCCCAGGACCCTGGGATCATGACCTGAGCCGAAGGCAGACACTTAACGACTGAGCCACCCAGGCGCCCAGGGCCACAGCTTTCTAATTTAGAGTAAAACAAGTCTGGGGAGAAAAAGTGCCTCATAATGGCCATTGACGTTCTAAATTATAGTTAAGTCGGTCCATTTAGTTAGAAATGTACATGAGAAGGGAGTGTGGTTTTTAAATTTTTTTTTTAAGTTTTTATTTATTTGAGAGAGAGAATGAGAGACAGCATAAGACAGGAGGGTCAGAGGGAGAAGCCGACTCCCCGCTGAGCAGGTAGCCCAATGCAGGACTCGATCCCCGGACTCCAGGATCATGACCTGAGCCGAAGGCAGTCGCCTAACCAACTGAGCCACCCAGGTGCCCCAGGAGTGTAGTTTTTAACCAAAAAAAAAAACTGGCCAGGGTCTCAGAAGAGGGGCATTTGTATGACTGGGATCCCATTTCTTAGGTGTTTTTTGTTTCTCTAGAGCAAAAAGAAAAGTTCCTAAACTGCAGTTTCAATAGGAATAGCCTGGTCCCAAAGGAGTCAGACTGAAGGCCAGCACAGTTCCAACAGAACAGTCGGTTCCTAAAAAAGGAGTCAGACGAAAGGCCAAACAAGTACTCTCAGAAAGGACAAGGCCTTAAAACAGGTCCCAAATAAAGTCTGGAAAGCTCAAGCATAAAGAGCGCAGAACTCGGGGCGCCTGGGTGGCTCAGTTGGTTAAGCAACTGCCTTCGGCTCAGGTCATGGTCCTGGAGTCCCAGGATTGAGTCCCGCATCAGGCTCCCTGCTCAGCAGGGAGTCTGCTTCTCCCTCTAACCCTCCCCCCTCTCATGTACTCTCTCTCTCAAATAAATAAATAAAATCTTTAAAAAAAAGAGTGCAGAACTCGAAATCCAGGTGAAAACTTACCCTCAAACTTCAGGGTCAGTGAGAAAGCAGTGGGCCCGACTGGCTCCGTGGGTCCCGGCACGTGTTGGCTCCCCAGCCTTGCAGCTGGTGGGGGTCATCTGTGAGTCCCACTTCTGATCACCAAATAATGTTAACCTTAGAAATAAAAGTGCCACTGATTTTACCAGCAGCAGTGGGTTTATTCCAGAATAGCAGAGAATTGTAATTCAGGACAAGTAAGTTATGGCAAAACCATAGTCAGTTCACAAAACAAAGGAGAGGACTGCTGGGACGGCTGTTAGAAGCCGAAAGCCCATTGGAGTAAACGAGGAGGTCTGAGTATAGCGGCCTCTCATTGGCCGACCCGTGCCAGTCTCTCCTTGGCTGGGTTGTTGCTGGGGCAGGAGGAAAACCTCTCTTCCTCCTACTGGGGTAATAGGGTAGTAAAGTAGGGTCAGACTTATAGGCTATGTTTCTTCCTGTTGGGTCTGAAATTCATGAGCCGTGGTAGGGCATGAGAGCGCCCCCCTGCTGGCCATGACTCCATTCTAAGCAAGGTTTCCTTTTATTTTCACTGTATCAAAGTCTGGAGGAAACAAATGTTTATGTGAATTCTTTCCCTTTTTAAAAAAAATTGATTTTATAGAGAGAGAGAGCAAGCATGGGCATGAGTGGGGGGAGGGGTAGAGGGAGAGAATCTTCAAGCCGACTCCCTGTTGAGCACGGAGCTGGCCACAGGGGCTTCATCTCACAACCCTGAGGTCGTGACCTGGATGGAAGCCACAAGTTGGACACTTACCGACTGAGCCACCCAGGAGCCCCATATGTGAATTATTTCTTGAGAGAACAGGTGGGGGCCAGGAGATGGACAGATCTGAGAATAATTGTGTCCCACAAATGCGCGTGGCTGCCTGGTGGGGGAAGGCACGTTCCCCATCAGTGCTGGTCTTGGCCCCCTTTTCACTTGCCTGTGGGAGTCTCACCCTTGCTTCCTACTGAGGAGTTGGTTGTCTGTTCTTGTTTTTTATCTCCTCTACATTTAAGAAGCAAGATAAAATTGCCAGATTTGGCTGTTTTTTACCCTACAAAATGACCATGTCATTTGGTTCAACTAATATTGTGTGTAAACCACACATACACAGGCAAATACATTTTAAGATAGTATTATATTGTTGAGACTGTTCTGTAGAAACCATTGTTCAGGATCGCTCATCCTTTTCATGTTCTGTATATTCCACTTCATGGGCATAATCTTTTTGAACTCAATCCCCAATTGCCTTTTGTCTGGTCGGTTGTTTATGAGGGTTATTTAGTTTGGAATAGGTGCCATAGAGGAGCTTTAATCTTTTGTGTAATTGTCAAATATACATTCTCTTCCCTTCTTTCTTTCTTGGTCACTGAATGCTAAGAAAACATTTTACTTTCAAAGCTTCTTTTTCTTTATATACATTTTATAAGAGCTCTTTCTATATGAATGCCATTGAAACCATGTGGCCTGTGGGGAGAACTGGTCTGCCTGGCTGTCTCTTACTCCCCAAACCTTATTCTTTCATCCAAGTAAGGCAGGATCAACACAGTATACTACCCACTTTTCAACATAGTTGTGTGGAACAGAAGAGATAATGTGAAGGCTCTGAGAATGGTTGTACGCTGAAGGAAGGCTTGGGTAGGGGTCATATTAGTAGTCATAGTAATAACAAGAGGCCCTGAAAACTTCTAGGTATACTTTATTAGCTAACTTTCTTCTCTCTCTTTTTTAAGATTTTTATTTATTTATTTATTTGAGAGCGTGCACTGTGGGGGGCAAGGAGGGGCCGAGGGAAACCCAAGCAGACTCAGCACTGAGCCGGAGCTGAGTTGGGGCTCTATCTCATGACCCTGAGATCACAACCTGAGCTGAAACAAAGAGTCGGACACTTGACCAACTGTGCCACCCAGGTGCCCAAGCTAACTTTATTCTTGTAGGAAATGCGCTAATGTAAGTATTTGCTTAGAAGGAATTCATAAACTAGACTGCCCTGATTTGCCTGATCAATGAGGTCTTACGATCCGTGAGCTCTGGGTGGGAAAGCTGAACTCTGAGGTTGGAGACCGACCCTGGGGAGCTCTCAGTGCTTTGGCAAGTCTCTGTGATGAGGAAAACTCCAGAGTCTGCTCACTTGGTTGCTGCCCAGGCTCCATGCTGAATGGGGAGCAGCCTGAGTGAGTGTGGTTGAGGTGGGCGAGGTGTGAGCTTGACTGCTGTGTCTGGAGAGCGCCTCAGAGCCAGGGCCCAGGCTGGCTCCCTCGATTCTCTCCTGAAGGTCCCGGAGGGGGTGTCCCCGCAGGGAACAGCTGCCTACCCTGCGTGTATGTGTGTCCTCTTCCAGGCTGCTGACTTGGGACGCCCACAAAGCCAGAAGCAAGTTGGAGCCCTGCCAGGCCGCCTATGCCATGGATTCCAAGGTCAGCCCTTGGGCTTCTCCTGGAGGAATGCTTTGGGAGGGGGAGTGAACATGACCGAGGCCAGCTTTTTCTTTGTGTGTGTGCTGTCAGTGTGGGACCCTGCTGACCCCTTCTTTGACAATGCTGCAGGGAGGAGCCTCACATTCACAACTTAGAGGAGCACAGTAAAGAAAAGAGATCAAAGTCCTGTCTTGTCTACTTATCCTCTTCCCTCTACCTTGTGCCTGGTCACTCACTGGAAGGGCAAGGCAGCTTTCTGATTCAGGACCATTTAGAAGCTCTAGAGTTCTTGGAAGTGATCACCCTGAGGTCATATAGGCCATTCCCCTGGCTTCAGCAGGATGGTACCTAAATTGCCTTCTCTGTACTCACCTTCTAACTAGCTGGAAGAGAAAATCATGGCATATCTAGTCAAAAGCTCTTTGTTCATCTGCTTACTAATAGTCTTTCTGCTTCCCTTCTCTGCCAACTTCTGTAGAGGCCCCAGCCCCAGGGGCTCCTCTGTGTGCACACTGTGCATCAGCCTTTTGTTCTCACCAGCCATTGGGGAAGGTTTCTGCAAAAAATATAAGGATTTGGTGGTTAGTAAACCTGGTGGCCCACCGTTTCTGAATCCCTAAACATAGCAACACCTGGCACCTGGCAGGTTCTCAAGGTGTAGTTGAATATCCTCCTGAAGGGTGGAAACCATGTGATTTTTCAGTTTGGTAGCCAGAGGGCCTGAGACACGGTAGGCTCAGCAGAGATGGTAACTGCTTGGCCAAAAGATTTCAGTAGCACCTTTGTCCTGATAAAGGTCTATTCTCAGTATCCAAAATTCCCTTCCATTTGGTGCCATTTAAACCTGCCCATTCTTGTCTTATACGTGTAAGTATGTATGTACGTATTAAGATTTCCTTTAGTTTTTCTTGTAGGGCAGGTCTACTGCTATACTGTGGTTTATCTTATTATTTAATTTTTTTTAAGTAGGCTCCACAGGGCTTGAACTCATGACCCTGAGATCAAGACCTGAGCTGAGATCAGAGTCAGATACTTAACCAACTGAGCCACCCAGGCACCCCTATTTTATTTATTTATTTTAAGTAAACCCTATGCCCAAGTGGGGCTCGAACTCAGGATGCCAAGATCAAGAGCTTCATGCTCTACCTACTGAGTCAGCCAGGCACCCCCATTCTTGTCTCTTTTAACTTGCAACTGTTGTGTCCTTTCCCGTATTGTTGAAATGTCTGCATTAAGAACAGTGTTGCCATGTCACGCTTTGTGGCACTTGAACTTCCACAAGTGCTTTTGTCCGCCTTGTCCATTTCGCCTGAAAACCCTCTGGGGGAGGAAGGGGGACAGAATTACCCCCAGCGTTTTCTCTTTTTTTCAACTTCAAGGTGAGAAAACAAAGACACATAAGTTGCCCAGTGTCTCATGGAGCTGGGGTTCACAGTGAAACACTGAGCAATTTGCTCTTATATTTCTGAGTTTGGCCCCCATCACAGTTTAATCCTGTTGTAGATTTTTCTGACTTTTTCCTTTTGAGGTTTTTCCAGTTTTTAAAAAATTGTGGTAGAATACATAGTGTAAAATTTACCATTTTAACCTTTTTTAAGAACACAATTCACTAGCATTAAGCACATTCATGTTGTGGTGACACCATCACCACCATCCACCTCCAGAACTTTTCACCTGTTCAACTGAAACTCTGTCCCCTTTAAATACTAACTCCCATCCTCCTGTCCCCGTCCCTGGCAGCCTCTCTCCACTCTCTGTCTCCATGAATCTGACTACTTGTGGTCCCTCAGAGAAGTGGAGTCAAGCAATATTTGTCCTATTGTGTGTCTGACTTATTGCGCTTAGCATCATATCTTGTTTGGTTTTTGGTTTGGGGTTTTTTTTGTTTGTTTTGTTTTACTGTTAACGGTACTGTTCATCCACATTTTAGCTTTTTTTTTTTTTTTTAAGATTTTATTTATTTATTTGACAGAGAGAGACACAGTGAGAGAGGGAACACAAGTAGGGGAAGTGGGAGAGGGAGAAGCAGGCTTCCCGCAGAGCTTGATCCCAGGACCCTGGGATCATGACCTGAGCCGAAGGCACACGCTTAACGACTGAGCCACCCAGGCGCCCCAGCATTCTTTTTTAAAAAATTTTTAAAAGATTTTATTTATTTTTTTTTATTTGAGAGAGAGAGACACAAGCAGGGGGAGCAGCAGAAAGAGAGGGAGAAGCAGCAGGGAGCCCGATGCAGGGCTCGATCCCAGGACCCTGAGATCATGACCTGAGCTGAAGGCAGATACTTAACCGACTGAGCTACCCAGGTGCCCCTCTTTTTTTTTTTTAGATTTTATTTATTTACTTGACAGAGAATGTACAAGCAGAGGGAGTGGCAGGGAGAGGGAGAAGCAAGGGAGCCCAATGTGGGACTCCCATCCCAGAACCCTGAGATCATGACCTGAGTTGAAGGCAGACCCTCAACTGACTGAAACACCCAGGTGCCCCCATTTTAGCATTCTTCTTTGATTTTTTTCTTTATATTTAGAGAAACAAAATAAGGGCAATTGGTTTGGATTTTTTTTTTTTTTTTTTTAACTGTTTGTATGGTGCTGTTTTTGCCAGGTTTGGGCACCTGGATTGTTCCAGTTTCTCAAAACACATCGGATAGCTTTCCATTTTTTTTCTCTACACTGAAACTGATTTTATAGCATGAGAGTTACTTTCGCATTTCTCTTTTTTTTAAAGATTTATTTGAGAGAGAGAGAGAGCATGAGTGGGGGCAGGGGCAGAAGGAGAGGGAGGTTGATCCCAGAACCCTGAGGTTCATGACTTGAGCCAAAACCAAAAGCTGGTCGCTTAACCAACTGAGCCAGCCAGGTGCCCCTTGATCATTTCTCCTAATATACTTTTTCCTGTGATTTAAAAGGATAAATAGCTATCAGATCTTGTATCTTCTGAGACATCCATTTCAGCTTTTATCACTAGAAGATCAGAAAGAGTCACAGTTGGGCACCTGGGTGGCTTAGTAAGTTGAGCGTCCAACTTAGCTCAGGTCATGAGATCCAGCCCCATGTTGGGCACCACACTCAGTGGGGAGTCTGCTTGAGAGTCTCTCTCCCTTTCCATCTGCTCCTCCCACTCGTGCTCTCTCTCTCTCTCAAATGAATAAATCTTTTTTAAAAGAAAAAGTCATAGTTTCATATTCGGTTTGTCACAAGCTCTATATGTTCTTGGAATTAAATACTATCAGCTCTTGAGCCTACTTTCTGATACGTGGTTTAGTCTGGCCTGTTCTTGACCTGCCCATCTAACAGTGTCTGTCCAACTGCTTTATAACCAGCTGGTACTGAACATTTGAGTGTGTGGTAACTCAGCCCACAACCCTGCCCCAGCCCTCCTTTCTTCTCTCCTAGCCAGGACATCTCCTTCAGGTAGAAATGAAGGATGTTCTTGAGTTTCTAAGCTGTCTTTTGCTGCCTGGCCTCACCATACCGGAATTGTAAGGATTCGATCCAGCAGAGCTTTTACATGATATTCCCCCCCGCCTTTTTTTTAAAAGATTTTATTTATTTATTTGACAGAGAGAGACACAGCGAGAGAGGGAACACAAGCAGGGGGAGTGGGAGAGGGAGAAGCAGGCTTCCCGCTGAGCAGGGAGCCCGATGCGGGGCTCAATCCCAGGACCCCGGGATCATGACCTGAGCCGAAGGCAGACGCTTAATGACTGAGCCACCCAGGCGCCCCTATTCCCCCCTTTTAAGAAATAATTCTGGAGAAGGAAAGGCTGAATAACAATACATAAGCACCTTGTTTTATGCATTTCATTTATTTAAAACAATCTGCCCTCTAAAAACTGTCCTAAAAGGTTTCTGATTTTTTTTTTTTTTTTCTTGCAAGAGAGAGAATGAGAGACAGAGAGCATGAGAGGGAGGAGGGTCAGAGGGAGAAGCAGACTCCCCGCTGAGCAGGGAGCCCGATGTGGGACTCGATCCCGGGACTCCAGGATCATGACCTGAGCCGAAGGCAGTCGCTTAACCAACTGAGCCACCCAGGCGCCCAAGGTTTCTGAATTTTTTAAATGAAAAATATTCAGGACTTAGAAGGCAAATAAATGTTATCGGCACCTTCATCTTCTGCTGAGCTTCTCTTACAGCCGAGTATGTGTGTGTGTTACATTTACCTGGGAGATCTCAGTATCCCTAGCCTTCTGGATGATTCCCTCTTTCATCCTAAGTCTTGGCTTGCTCTGAGCACAGCTGGCTACTGGTGGTACAAGCACTCACCTTTGTTTGCCAAGAACACTGACCCAGGTGCAGTCAGTAACCCCAGAAACGTCCCTCCTGGCTCCCAGAGCACAGATGCTGAGCTGAGCTCCCACGGCAAGTGGTGATGGCGGACGGAGCTGGCGGGCAGAGCCCCCAATCCCTCGCATTAGAGCGGGAGTCATCCTCATACAGCTGGATTGTGGTTAAGGGGCATATCCTCCCGAAGCAAGCCAAGCCTGCCCAATAGGAGGCATTATCTGCAGTCACTACTGCCCAGGATTTATGGAAAATCGGCTGGGTGCACAATACCATCTTAGCCCACAAAGGAGATTATGAAAAAGAAAGAGCTTCTAACTGCTGGATGCATAGCTGGTAGGGTGAGCTGAAGTTGCTAAAGGATACGTGGGAGTTAGCAGGAGCATGTAAGTGTAAGGATGTAATGATATTTGCTGACTTCCTTAAAACAGCCTTTGGAACTGCCTCCTCCGAAAGCAAGCTCACCTCAGCTCAGTGTTTTCAGGATGTCATGCAAATGTCTGCAGAATCGGAGCTTTTTCTTTGGCACCTACTGGGGGCACTGCTTGAAGCAGACACTGCAGACTTGGCCTCTGCCCACTGGGTCCTCTTGCGACCACAGGGTCATTCGGACATCTTAGGCCAGTAAGCTATTTCAGGCCCGGCTGTCCCCAGAGCCCTTCCGCCAAGCTCAGCTGCAGACAGGGCCTCTGGCCCTGGACCGGGTTCCTGCACATCTCCCTGACTCCCTTTTTATCTTAGGTCAGCAACGGTTCAGGCCTCCAGGATGAGCGCATCACAAACTTGCTGGTGTTTGGCTTCCTCCAAAACTGCTCCAACTCTAATTTCCACAAAGAGTTGGAGGTGCTGGGCCGTGAACTGCCCATGCCGGCTTACCTGCAGGAGGACCACGATGATGGGCTGCAGACAGATGGCAACCGCTGCAGCTACTTCCTGGCAAGTGGGGAGAGAGGTAGGTGTTTGGTGCAGCCTCCTATGCCCCAGATCTGGGCTTTGCATTTAGGGAACCTAAGTCCTGGAAGGGAGCTTTGGGCTCAGTCTCCCCCTCCCTAGTCTCAGTCCATCGTAGATGTTTGTGTCATATGGTGGTTTGATCTGTACCTGTTGACTCTAGTGGAACAGGCCGGAGTTTCTAATTAGTTGAAAACCACTCAGTTTCTTTATGATGACTCTTTGAATCTGTATAGTACCTTACACTTTTATGTGTGTCGTGGCGGGATTATCTACAACATGCCTAGGGCATTGAAGTATTCTGAACCTAATTTCCAGATGAGGACACTGAGGCCCAGAGACGGGTAAATGATGAACCCCAAATCAAATAGCGACTGGGCACAGTAAGAGTCAGGCTTGGGGCCAGGCCTCTCTTCTCGAGCTGGGCTCTCTTCCATTGTGCTCCCATGATATGTCCTCCCAGCATGTCATGGTTTCCAGACTTCACCTCTCCTCACCCACATCCCTGTGCTACCTCTTCCAACTTTACTTTTTATTTCTGTGCCGTTGGTGCAGCCTCCACAGATGGAGGCCATCCTGAGCTGAAGGCTGAGGGAGCAGGGCTGGGAAGCATGTTGAGAATTAGCCTCTTCTAGATTCTGGGTACATGGGAATTCCACGAGGAACATTTTCAAAATGCACAGTCCTTGGGCCCGACTCCAGCTGTCTGCACCAGCGTGTTCTAGGGTGGAAGACTCCCAGGTGTTTATGAGGTATATGCCCTGGTTAGGATCAGTGCCTTAAAAGCCTAAGGTGACTCTGAAGACCTGGAGCCAGGCCTCCCAACCTAGCCGAGAGTGGAGTCAAATCCTCCTGCCTCCACGGAAATCTCCTGGCATACAAGATTGCACTGCCCTCTGGTGGCCACGGGGGGGACCAACAGCTGATCCAGCTTTGGACCTCCAGCTTTATCTTAATTTGGGTGGGTGGGGTATGGCAGGAGTTCCCCCACGAGCCAGGGTGTGCCAAAGACTTTCTGTGCTTTAGAATCCAGCCAGCGCATCTTCTGGGTGGCCCTTAAACTTGAGTAAGAGCAACTGGTCCTCTTAGGGAGGGGATGGTGGGGCAGGAATGGCTTGGCTGTCAGAAGCTGCTGCAGGGCTAACTGCAGCCACAGGCTGCACCCTGAGCTGTCCTTTGCTCTTCTACACCATTACTTGCCCTTAGACTGCAAAGCCTGGCTTGACTGAAATGTCATTTGAAAAAGTGATTATGGGGCTGTACACCACACCTCACCTCTGGTAGAAAACTGGCCTGTAGGTTAAGTACCTGCCCCAGGTACTTAATAGAGTAGAATAGAGGCTCTGTATACCACAGTTCCGTTGGTGAATTCATTTACTCAGCTGGATACTGACTGAATCTGCCAGGACTCCTGAAGTTTGCTGGAACCAAGTGAAAAAGCTCAGAGAAATCCGTGAGGCAGCCAGTACAGCGGGAGCTCCGGAGAGGCTGGTGCTCTGAGGGGCCAGGAGAGACTGCATGGCTGTAACTGCACTTGAGTTGGCCTGTGGAGGAAGGGGCACACTTTGGCTCTTTGGGAGCTGGTAAGAGGCAATGGCAACGGCGTACGCAAACACTTGCAGGTGGAAAGCCTGGGGCCTGTTAAAGGTAGTGTGAATAGTTGGGTTTGGCTAGCGAGTTTGGAGGGAATAGTGCAAGTTAAGGTCCAAGGTGTTTTGAGGCCTGGTTGCAACTTGTCACTTCAGCAGGTGTGAGCCCATGAAGGAGTAGAGAAGTGACTTCCTAGCCAGACTCCATGGGTCATGGTCAAGACCACCGTGGGGCAGGTGAAACGCTGAGGGCACAGAATTTAAGGAGGCGCCCTCCCCAGGGTCACAGCAGTACCCCCAACCCCCTCAAAGCCTCTTTCACTCTTGCACCTCAGTGCCTCGCTGGCCACAGCATATCGTGGAGAGTGGGGAAGGGCCTGGAGAGCAGTGAGGGGGCTCGGAGCTTGCCGTCATGATCCAGATGAGAGCTGATGGAGAACCCACATCCGGGTGGTGGCGCTGGTGACACTAGGACAGACAGGTGTGTCTGCGCTCTGAGATAAGATGTGACCACTGCTTGAGGATGGCTGCAAGCATTGCGGAGATGGAGATTTCTGTCCTGGGTAAATAAGAAGCCAGAGGGAAGGTGCAAACACAGAAGAAATACAAGATTTAATGGGAGAAATAACGGTAGCTGGCATTTATTGAGTAGTTATAGGGGCAGGGACAGGATTCGTTCATTGACTTGTTCATTGTACAGTTGTTGATCGAGCTCCTGTGTGCCTTGCCTTTTCAGTGCTGCATGTTTAACAGTAAACAAAACATTTAAAAATCAGAGCTCTTGAAATAAGTCAAACAGAGAAAGACATGTATCGGGCGCCTGGGTGGCTCAGTTGGTTAAGCGACTGCCTTCGGCTCAGGTCATGATCCCGGGGTCCTGGGATCGAGTCCCGCATCGGGCTCCCTGCTCTGCGGGGAGCCTGCTTCTCCCTCTCCCACTCCCCCTGCTTGTGTTCCCTCTCTCACTGTGTCTCTCTCTGTCAAATAAATAAATAAAAAATCTTAAAAAAAAAAAAAAAAAGAAAGACATGTATCATATGACCTCACTGATAGGAGGAATTCTTAATCTCAGGAAACAAACTGAGGGTTGCTGGAGTGGGGGGTGGGGTGGGAGGGATGGGGTGCCTGGGTGATAGACACTGGGGAGGGTATGTGCTCTGGTAAGCGCTGTGAATTGTGCAAGACTGTTGAATCTCAGATCTGTACCTCTGAAACAAATAATGCAATATATGTTAAGAAAAAAACAAAAAAGAAGATAGCAGGAGAGGAAGAATGAAGGGGGGGAAAGTGGGGGGGGTAGACAAACCATGAGAGACGATGGACTCTGAAAAACAAACTGAGGGTTCTAGAGGGGAGGGGGTGGGAGGATGGGTTAGCCTGGTGATGGGTATTGAGGAGGGCACGTTCTGCATGGAGCACTGGGTGTTATGCACAAACAATGAATCATGGAACACTACATCTAAAACTAATGATGTAATGTATGGGGATTAACATAACAATAAAAAAAATTTAAAAAAAATCAGAGCTCTTAGGAAGCTTACCTTCTGGCAAGGGAGTCAGACAAAGAACACTGACAGATAAATGGTGTAGTAGTGAGTGTTGAGGGAGGAAAAGAGAGGGCAGGGGGAGGGCAGGTGGCAGGGCAAGCAGGGGTGTTGATCTCTCTGGCACACGTGCGGCCCTAATTCTGGCTGCGGCGGAGCCCCCGCCCTAACAGCTTCTTAGGCCGACACCTGTTACGTGATGGGGTAGAGCTGGCAGCCGGGAAGGTTGCCATCAGATTCATGCCACAGATGCCCTGGCATCACTGTCCTTTTCACAGACAAATGTTGACTGTGTGTGGGGAGGGGCCTGCTTCTCCAGATTTTCTGCTCACTTAGACCCTTTCCTGGCCCCAGCCCTCCGCCCCGGCTGCTCTCAACTGCAGTTCTACCAGCATAGAGCACATGCTCAGCGAGCCCTCTGTGGTGAGCGGTGCAAACGGGCTGGCTCTCTTCCAAAGCAGAGTCCCTTCCTTTTTCTGGTACGGGGTGGAGTGGGAGGGGTCAGACAGGGCCATCGTCTGAATCTGCTGTGTCTCTGTGCCCCTGCCTGAACATTTAGATTCTCAGGGTCAAGAAGAAATCATCCAGGATATCGCCAGGCAGCTCGCCGTAATAGGGGACAATATGGATCGCAGCATCCACCCAGGACTGGTGAATAACCTGGCAATGCAGTTTATGAATGTGAACCTGTCAGAAGAAGTAAGTGAGAAAATCCACCACTGCCTTTTCTGGGTTAGTCAGGAAGTGTGAGAACTTTTTTCAGTGGTCAGTTTTTTTAAAATTTTAATTCCAGTGTAGTTAATGCAGTCTTATATTAGTTTCAGGTGTATAATACAGTGATTCAGTAGTTCTGTATATTACTCAGTGCACATCAAGAGAAGTTTGCTCTTAATCTCCTTCACCTATTTCACCCATCCCCCACCCACTTCCCCTCTGGTAACCAGCAGTTTGTTCTCTATAGTAAGTCTGTTTTTCAGTTTGTCTCTTTTTTCCCTTTGTTCGTTTGTTTTGCTTCTTAAATTCCACATATGAGTGAAATCATAGTTATTTGTCTTTCTTTGACTGACTTATTTCACTTAGCATAATACTCTACTCTGTAGCTCCATCCATGTTGTTGCAGATGACAAGAATTTATTCTATTTTAAAATGGCTGAATAATATTCCATTGTGTATATACCACATCTTCTTTATCCATTCATCAATTGATGGACACTTGGGCTGCTTCCATAGTTTGGCTATTGTAGATAATGCTGCTATAAACATAGAGTGCATGTATCCCTTCGATTAGTGTTTTTGTATTCTTTGGGTAAATATGCAGTAGTGCAATTACTGGGTCACAGGGTAGTTCTATTTTTAATTTTTTTGAGGAACCTCCATACTGTTTTCCAGAGTGGCTGCACCAGTTTGCATTCCCACCAACAGTGCACAAGGGTTCCTTTTTCTCTACATCCTCACCAACATCTGTTGTTTCCTGTGTTGCTGATTTTAGTCATTCTGACAGGTGTGAGGTGATATCTCATTGTAGTTTTGATTTGCATTTCCCTGATGATGAGTGATGATGAGCATCTTTTCACGTGTCTGTTGGCCATCTGTATGTCGTCTTTGGAGAAATGTCTGTTCGTGTCTTCTGCCCATTTTTTAATTGGATTGTTTGTTTTTTAGGGTTGTAGAAGTTCCTTATATATTTTGCATACTAATCTTTTATCAGTTATCTCATATGCAAATGTCTTTTCCCATTCAGTAGGTTGTCTTTTAGTTTTCTGTTGTTAATTAAACCATCGAGGTCTGTCCTCTGTCTCCTCTCAGACCAGTGTCCAGTGAGGTGACTCAATTCATGACTGCCTACAAAAGAATTGGAAATAGAATCATAGCATGGTTAATTGTATTTCAGAATTAACTTGACATTTAGGAAACTTGAACCTTAAGTCAGAGTCAAGATTTTGGATACAAAAGCCTCTAAACAGATTAATAAAATGTATATGACTCTTCCAGAAAGAACTTATTCTTTCTTCAGTTGAATAAAAATGTAAGTAGAGAATGTCAAGTCACAAGAAAAGTGACATTTTATTTAGCCTGCTACTCTTACTTCATGGTTATAATCAATATACAGATACTAACAGAATTTCTAACCCTTGCCGGGTACCATAAAGTACTCTATCCTCTCTGAAGAAATGTAGTGGGAGGGAGAACTGCCCCAAGGCTGTCAAATCTATGTCTACAGGAGTTCAGAGGAGAGAAGGGTTCCATCCTTTGACTACCACCTGAAAATGCAAATGCTCCTCTCTACATAGAAATGTATTCATCCCCCAAGGTTCAGTCAGCCAGGTCAGCCTCCTGCCTGTAAGCAGGTCTCTCTACTCCAGGGATCTCTCCCTGTCTGGAGTTCTCCAGCAGCTGTCATAGACATGGTCATGTTCTGCCTCAGGACCTCTCCCACAATGTTAACTGAACTTTGCATCTGAGTTGATGAACTTGAAGGTCCTTTCAGGTCTAATGGTCTGTGGGGTGCCTCTCCTATGTAGGCTAGGCAAGAAGGGCACATTTAGGCCCCCTTTCATCTCTTTCCCTGGACCTAGGTCTGCACCAGTAAGAGATCTAAGACATCTTGGGTAGTTAACTAATTCTTGACTTTAAGTGTCTTAGAGGCAGGGAAGGACTCGGGCTTCTTCAGTTCCATTGTCTAAAGTGAACACACAGGCTCAAGAAAAATGTGTTTGGTGAATGAGTGTCCAGCTGCAGGGAGTGAGCTCAGTCTCCCCTTTCCATTGTCTCTCAAAATTAAATAATTTCTCATTCTGTCCTCCAACCTCCTCAGCTGTTTAGTAAGTTCCTCCCTATGAAATGAAAGCTGCTTTCTACTTAACATTAGAGGACTGTTTTCCTTTCAGAGGGCAGAATATTAGTAAACTCAGTTTTGTGTGACCCTGTTTTCACCCATGCAGGACAGAAGGAGGTACCTCGTCACTGCGCTGGAGCGGATCATGAAGACTTACCCTACAGACATGGAGGAGGAGAAGACCATGCTGATGTTGGCCATGCTCTTGGCCAAAAAGGTGGCCGATCACACACCATCCTTGCTCCGTGATGTCTTTCGCACAACAGTGAACTTTATTAACCAGAACCTATTCACCTATGTGAGGAACTTAGTCAGAAATGTAAGAACCAGTGATGTCAGCTCCATGGTGTTTCACTAAATCCTCTTGGTCTCTGCCTGGTCCCTCTAAGGTCTGGAAACCCAGCAGAACTCTCTGCTGCAGGGCTTCTTTCATTCTTTCTCCCTGTGCTTCTGGTGACTAAACCATAAGAGAGGCTTAGGGACCTTCTTGCTCAGGTAGAAAGGCTTGGTTTTGCCTCTGTGACAAAGTTGTGTTGTAGAAGGTGGTGATGAGCACCTAATGCCCTTTTGAGCTCCATCAACGTTATTTTTAAGACAGGGGCACCTGGGTGGCTCAGTCCTGGGATCAAGCCCCGCATCGGGCTCCCAGCTCAGCAGGAAGCCTGCTTCTCCCTCTCCCACTCCCCCTGCTTGGGTTCCCTCTTTAGCTGTGTCTCTCTCTGTCAAATAAATAAATAAAATCTTAAAAAAAAAAAAAAAAAGACACGCTACTATCAGAGCATACTTTATACTACACTATTGCTAGAATCAGAGTAGGATGGTGTAGGTAGGTGTGTGGAGCATGAAAGAAAGTGGCAGGAGTATCCCCAGCGGAGCTTCTTCCATCTGCTCTCACCCTCACCTGGTCACAAACATTAAGTATAATTTACATTTTCTTTTTAAGATTTTATTTGAGAGAGTGAGCACAAGTTGGGAGGGAGGGGCAGAGGGAGAAGCAGGCTCCCCACTGATCAGGGAGCCGGACGTGGGGCTCAATCCCAGGACCCTGGGATTTTGACCTGAGCTGAAGGCAGAGGCTTAACTGACTGAGCCACCAGGTGCCCCATAATTTACATTTAAAAACATACTTACCATGGGACGCCTGGGTGGTTCAGTCGGTTAAGCGTCTGCCTTCAGCTCAGGTCACGATCCCAGGGTCCTGGGATCGAGTCCCGCATCGGGCTCCCTGCTCCGCGGGGAGCCTGCTTCTCCCTCTGCCTCTGCCTCTCTCTCTCTCTCTATCTCTCATGAATAAATGGATAAAATCTTTAAAAAATAAATAAATAAATAAATAAAAATAAAAACATACTTACCAAAAAAGGATGTTGGGGAGAGAGACCAAAATAGTCAAAAGGGGGGAAAACTATCTAAAATCTTCCCCATAAAACCTGTCCAAGATATTAAAAATAACAGTTCTTCATGATGCTGCCCAAGAAGAGCCAGATAGCCCTCAAAGTCTGTTGTTTCACTTTAACTGGAAATTAAGTTGATGTATCTTATCTGTAAATTTGAAAGTATTAGTGAATGTTTGGGATTTTATGTGTCAGAGGCATTACCCAGGCATCTAACCCTGTTAATATTTACTGATAGGTCTCAACGCCTTTTTTCTCTGTCTGCCATGGTCTTCATTTGTGCCAGCACTTTTTAAAAAAAATTTTTTTTGAGAGAGAGAGCGAGCACACGCAAGTTGCGGGGAGGGGCAGAGGGAGAGGAAGAATCTTAAGCAGGCTCCATGCCCAGTGCAGAGCCTGATGCAGGGCTTGATCTCACGACCCTGAGATCATGACTTCAGCTGAAATCAAGAGTTGGATGCCTAACGGACTAAGCCACCCAGGTGCCCCATTCCAGCATTTTAAAACAGGAGAATGAATATAAATCTTGACTCAAGTATATTAAACCAAGCTGAATTGTTGGAAGAAGGTAAGCCTGAGAAAGTTCCTGGACAGCTTTCACCAACAACCATCTAAAGGGGGAATAAGTGGGCAGATGTCAGTAGCAATTTCTATTAACAGCTTGCCAAATACTGAAGGGATGAGGGGCGCCAGGGTGGCTCAGTCAGTTAAGCATCTGCCTTCAGCTCAGGTCATGTTCTTGGGGTCCTGGGATGGAGCCCCGTGTCAGGCTCTCTGCTCAATGGGGAGTCTGCTTCTCCCTCTGCCCCTCCCCCAACTCGTCCTCTCTCTCTCTCTCTCTCTCAAATAAATAAAAGCTAAAAAAAGAAGTACTGAGGAAATGAAACAATCTTCATTCCTCAGACCTACTAAGGTGTTTCTTGGCACCATAAGTGGCTCAACAGATGTGAAGATCCCGATCTCAGCACCTGGAAAGCCTGTGTTTTTGTGGTTGCTCCCGTGTAGCAAGAAGGAGGATGCAGGGATCTAAGGATAACAGGACTCCAGAGAGTGTGTTTTTTGCATAAACGCCAGCTTCACTTCTATCGATTGTGGCACCAGAGTCCTTAAGAATTGAATCCTGATTTGTGAATTAGACTGGTTAATTCTGGCTATTTTTCTTTTCTCGCTGTAGGAGATGGACTGAGTGGACACCTCTGCCAAGGCACGACTGGTTAGAACTTGATACGGTGACGACAGTCCAGCTGCCTGCCGCTGAGCTGGAGCCATGGCATTTAAACAAAGCTCGTAGGAAAGATAGGCTGAGATCATAGCTATTTATTTCTATTGTGAAGATGATGTTCTAAGCCGGTGATCCGTTTAGACATCTTTACATTAACATACTTGAAAGAAAATGTCAACTTGCACATATTTGAGTTTCATACCATCTTCTAAATCTACTACACATTGGGCCCTTATCTTATTTCTTGTACTTCACTTGAAAATTAAAGAACAGATTGTAAGGCAGAAGAAAAAAACAATGTTTTTTTGTTTAAAAAAACCCCAACTTTACTGTTTATTAAAGTGCAACCTTGGGGCATGGTCTTACAGCAGGCAAGATCATGTTTGAGGAGAGCAAGGACTGGAGACGGATGCACATACCCTCACAAATGAAAAACTCCTTTCAAAATAGGGAGCATAAAAACCAAACAGTACAAGAGGTTCTGGACTAAAGTTCTCTATTCAATGGGAAAATCAGGCCTCAGAACATGCGATTTTTTTTTTCAACTTGATGTCCTTTTATTGAGTCAGGGAGACCACAGGCAATTAAAAGGTGTGGTGGGATTTAAGGGCCCAAGTCAACCACAGTCTCCAAAATCAGGTAACTCCATGCATTTTTTTCTTTCCAAGAAGTCAGAGCTTTAATAAAAATGTTAGCCTGATGGGATACCAGAGGCTACTGCATACATCCCATGGGGAAATAGGTTAATAATCGTACGTATTCATTTTCCTCCCGTATCCCTCAGCTGATCTTGCCCAAGAAGCTATATCTAAAGAAAACAGGCTTTCTAGGCATAAAAGATGAAAGAACAGTTAGATTTTTAAAAATTCCAACGCTTGAGGTGGTTCCCTTTCTTAGGGACACAGAATGCAAGTGATACCAAAATAAGTCATTTCGGAAGTGCCAGAATAAACCAGGGAGAGCTTACATTTAGAGTGCAACAGGGACGCCTGGGTGGCTCAGTCGTTAAGCGTCTGCCTTCAGCTCAGGTCATGATCCCAGGGTCCTGGGATCGAGCCCCGCATCGGGCTCCCTCCTCGGCAGGAAGCCTGCTTCTCCCTCTCCCACTCCCCCTGCTTGTGTTCCCTCTCTCACTGTCTCCCTCTCTGTCAAATAAATAAAATCTTAAAAAACAAAAAACAGTGCAACATTGGTCTCTTGTTCCTGGCAATAAGTGTTTCCTAGCATTCTGTTTAAAAGTATGATGGCAGATGCTGGGTTCACATCACACATGGTACTGTTTCACTTAACCAGTTGTTACTGTGAATATGATACTTTCTTGTTACCAAAAACACTTTTCTGTTCCTTGAGAGTTTAATCAGAAAGGAAAAATGAGGGATGCCTGGGTGGCTCAATCAGTTAAACGTCTGCCTTCGGCTCAGGTCATGATCCCCCAGGGTCTTGGGATCAAGCCCCGCATCGGGCTCCCTGCTCAGTGGTGAGTCTGCTTCTCCCTCTCACTCTCCCTCTGTTCTCTCACTCTCTCTCAAATAAATAAAATCTTAAAAAAAAAAAAATGCGTTCAGCATTAAATACATACTGTACTGGGTGCCTGGGTGGCTCAGTCGTTAAGCATCTGCCTTCGGCTCAGGTCATGATCCCAGGGTCCTGGAATCGAGTCCCACATCGGGCTCCCTGCTCGGCGGGGAGTCTGCTTCTCCCTCTGACCTTCCCCCCTCTCATACTCTCTCTCTCTCTCAAATAAATAAAACCTTCAAGAAAAAAAGAAAATCTCTTCTTTAACTCTCTTAAAAAAAGATTTATTTTTCTTTGTGTATGTTATACTTCATTTAAAATTGACATTTAAAAAATTGTACATGTAGGGGCACCTGACTGTCTCAGTTGGTAGAACATGTGACTCTTGATCTCAGGGTTGTAAATTCAAGCCCCATGCTGGATGTAGAGATTACTTAAAAATAAAATCTTTTAATGAGCACCTGGGTAGCTCAGTCGGTTGAGTGCCCAACTCTTGATTTCAGCTCCAGTCATATATCTCAGGGTTGTGGGATTGAGCCCTGGGTCAAGCTCCTTGATCAACAGGGAGTTGCTGGAGATTCTCTCTCTTTCTCTCTGCCCCTCCTCCCCTCAAATAAATAAATCTTAAAAAAACAAAAGTCCTTGGGGCCCCTGGATGGCTCAGCCAGTTAAGCGTCTGCCTTCGGTTTAGGTCATGATCTCAGGGTTCTGGGATCAAGCCCAATGTCAGGCTCCCTGCTCAGCAGGGAGTCAGCTTGTCTCTCTCTCTCTTTCCCTCTGCCCCTGCCCTGCTTCGTGCACGCACTCTCTCTCAAAGTAAAAATCCTTTTTAAAAAAAGTGCGTGCTCTTAACCCTCATATCTATCACCACATTAAAGAAATCCTAAATATTAAAAAATAAAAAATAAATAAAATCTTTAAGGGGTGCCTGGCTGGCTCAGTCAGAAGAGCATGTGACTCTTGATCTCAAGGTCATGAGTTCAAGTCCCACGTTGGGCATGGAACCTACTTAAAAAATAAACTTTAAAAAAAATAAAATCTTTTTAAAAAATTGTACATGCCACAGGAACAAGAGAGTAATTAAATCTATGTGACACAGATGAGGAAGATCATAGAGAAAGCAACATTTGAGCTGGTTTTTCTGGGATGAGATGGTATTTACAAGCAGAGAAGGTAAGAGAGAACCATTCTAAGGAAAGGTGAAAAAGCTAAAACACATGGTATGTGATAAGCAGCAAGTGCTCATGTAATGGTACCGAACATATGAGGGAAAGTGGGACAAGGTATTGGATGCAAAGTTGGCTGAGGCTCACTTAAAGGTCATATATGCCATGAAAAGGAGTTTGTGTTCCGTTTATAAATCCATAAAGACAATATATTTTTGTATGAACTACAATTTGATCAGGAAAGCACAACCATGATGATGGATATGGTATCAGACATTAATTACAGGGATTAAACTATCTAATTGTGGGAGCTACTGAAGAGTCTTTGGAAAGCTATTGCCTCTGCATCTGGAGGGGAGCTTGAAACTGCTATAGATCAGTGTGTGTTATAGTCAAGAACTTACATGAAGTAGGGACGAACAAAGACAAACTGAAACCCCTAAGGCCACGTGGAACCAGTGAGGACAAATTGAATTCTATGTTCTCTCTCACTGCCTCTAAAGTCAATGACATTGGATGGCCTTCAGAACAAAACGGTACCAGTCTTCATGGAGCTGAACTCATGCCTGACCTAAGACTCAGGAAAGTAGGTCAAGGTGCTACTCCATGCCTGGTACCCTTCAGAGATGCTTCACTCCTACCTGCCAAATCTCACATAAATTCTTACGGTCAACCCTAATTTAGAACAATACAAGGAAGGGAATGCTGGGAGATAGAGTTGTAGCTTCTCTAAGAATAATGACCCAATACAAATTCACCAATATTATTCTAATTTTTACTTTTTTATTTTTTTGAGAGAGAGAGTAAGGGAGCACGAGTGGGGGGCAGAGGGAGAGGGAGAAGTAGGCTTCCCGCGGAGCAGGGAGCCCAATGTGGGGCTCAATCCCAGGACCCTGAGATCATGACCTGAGCAGAAGACAGACACTTAACCTACTGAGCCATTCAGGTACCGCATTCTAATTTTTACTTTTAGAGTGACCAGAGTTTATTCCAGAAATATACAGAAAGGTGAACATTAAAAAATCTAACATAGGGCGCCTATGACCAAGAGTCAGACGCTTAACCAACTGTGCCACCCAGGCACCCCAAAACTACAAACTTTTAGAAGGTATGACAGTCTTAACTAATGCAACAAGATTAAAGAAAATGAATGAGATATAAGAATCAGAAAATAGGGGCGCCTGGGTGGCTCAGTTGTTAAGCGTCTGCCTTTGGCTCAGGTCATGATCCCAGGGTCCTGGGATCGAGCCCCGCATCGGGCTCCCTGCTCTGCGGGAAGCCTGCTTCTCCCTCTCCCACTCCCCCTGCTTGTGTTCCTGCTCTCGCTATGTCTCTCTGTGTCAAAAAAATAAATAAAATCTTAAAAAAAAAAAAAAAAACATACCGTACTAGGGCTGGATCACAACCTGGTTATCTGCAATATGTTTTAGATACTAAAAGCTGTGCAGTATGAAGACCACCATTTGGAAATCTTCCAGTAATGCCGTTATGAAAGAACTTTTTTTTGGAAGGATTCATAGTACGGTGGACACAAATCGAATCACATACATACTCATCCACACATGTATCGAAGTGTTCAGATTCTCACTAGGGACAGAGACTTTCTTCCAAAAGGAACAATTTAAATACAAATAGTCAACTCTAATGGAAGAGAAAAGGGCTCTAAAACAATCCCAGATTCTCATAATACTTAGGAACAGCACCTTCACCTGCCATTGTTTTGCTTAACAGTAGGCCACCATTTTAATGCAGCTTATATACACATTTTGGTGTACATTTTTTTTCAGGCCAAGTTAGGCTTTCTCAGCCATAAAGCAAAATTATCACCTCTTTTTCCCAAGCCAGCATCATGAACAGTCCACTGTATCAAAAACAAGTGTTCCAGTCTTGGGCACATCCCAGCCACAATGACTCAGGCATATCCTGGAAGTTGGTGGATTTTACGCTGGGAACATAATCCTCATGGATATGATCGAAAAGATTTTTTTTTCTCTTTTATTTATTTATTTGAGACAGAGAGAATGAGAGAGAGAGAGAGCACATGAGAGGGGGGAGGGTCAGAGGGAGAAGCAGACTCCCCGCCGAGCAGGGAGCCCGATGCGGGACTCGATCCAGGGACTCCAGGATCATGACCTGAGCCGAAGGCAGTCGCCCAACCAACTGAGCCACCCAGGCGCCCCAAAATTTTTAATTCAATGTTTTTCATCCTGGTTTTTTAAATATTTGAATTAAGTGATGGAAATTCCTTGGTTAAAGAGAAACAGCTTTCTTCTCCAGGAGATGCTTGGCATATCTGAAAGTCAGATGGACTATGTGGTCTATTCAGAAGGTTAAATCATTCCTGATCTCACCATGCAGGATCCAGCACGGACTGCGGAGATGCTCGGGACTGCCTTAAAGGGTCACAGCGCCAGAGTCTGCTTTTATTTCCTAACAATTTCATTGCTGACTGGAAACCTGAATAGGGAGTGTCCTTTGGATGTTATGATCATGTTTTCAGAACCTGAGGGCAAAGCAAGTGTGTACTTACGAAGACCACAAAATTATCTGCAATGATCCCTCTCCAAGGTCAAGGGCATGAGGTTACCATATGAATAGAAAGAGGAGTCCATCAATTATCTTCAGATCTCACTTTATTTCAATTTCCAATGTGTTCTCCCCAACACACTGCTTCTAACAGAAAGCACAATTCATAGATTTGAATTTTGTTCCTTTTCCCTGATGAAGAGTAGACTGGACGAAAGGCAGATTACCAGGAGGGAAAAGGAGGAGCGAGAATAACCCACATAAATGAGCAAATCAGAGCTGTTAGTGAGGAGAGCTAATGGAAATTCATACAGAAAAAGGAAATACATGCATTTAAGTGAAATGCTTATGTTAATTACCAAAATTACCATTTAATTCCAGTAATTTTGAGGAGATGAGAACATTAGAACCAATAATAAATTGAACTCGGTCAAGGAACGAGGTAGGAAGAGGCACTTTTAATGTGAAGGAAAAGAGAAATGGAAGACTAGGTAGGACAGCAGGAAAAACACAGGTCTAGGAAAAATATTCTATCTTTTGGTGCTGGCCAAGGACCAATCTATATAATACAATTGTCTTGCTAGAAACCAGGAACCAAGTTATTCCAGACTCTGTAATAGGAAAAATTGTACTTCAACTTCCTTTTATTCCTGGAACAAACTTAGTAAACGATGTCAAAACTTTTATTCATAATACACCAATTAGCCAATTTCTCCTAGTGGTGCAACATTACTATAAAATTTCCCCTAAGAAGGTGAGAAGGGTGCAAGGATCACCTTAAGCCAGCTGCTACTTTTTAACTTATTACAAGGCCTTGCAAATATCCCTGAGAACATTTCCAACCTGAGCGAGCGATTGGAGCAGCTGCCTGGCTAGAACTATTGCAGTGTAAACATAAACATGTAGAGAACACTACTGGTTTTAATTCACAGGAACATGGCAAGCCAGGCAGAGGCTAGTCTTGTGTAAATAGAGGAAGACGGGATGTATTAATATTTTAGTTACACGACCGACCGTTTCCATTCTCTGGAGCTGTATATATGAGGTAACTAAGAAATAGTGGTTAAATTTCAAGAAATGGGTGTTCTATAGCCAAGGCTACTATTAACTTTACATTCCCCAGTGTGCTGTGGAATAGAACAGAAAATTTTTCACTGGAAGGTCACCTGGTGTCAGCTTCTGAGCCAGATGTGCCTGTGGTGCTGCCTGACCAGCTGTCTTGAGTTGGCGACCTCTTGGGTGTTGAGAGGCCAAGCAACGCCTAGAAGTACCCCACTTCACGACTCCTGGCATGGGCAGGGGAAAAGGAAAATAACGAACAGACTGAGGGAGAGAAAGTGTCAAGGTGCTGCCTTCAGATCATTTGAAGATTCCTGTGTCAGACTGCTTTACCCTCGTTTACAAGCAGAAAGACGTACTATCGGACACATTAGCTGAAAATGCTAATGCAAGATCTGTACCAGCAGTAACCGCTAATTCTTTAGCCATAAGGTACCTCATTCAGTATTTAAGGGGAAAACATCTGGTAGAGTCAGAAGTTGGGAATAACCCTGGACATAACCTTCAAACATGCTCAGTACTTAGGACTCGACCATATGGAACCATCATACAAATCAAGAAAAATCTCCCTTCAGTCGGGTGAGCTTGGCCGCCCTAGTGCAGTGTATGATTGGCGCAACCATTTGTGGGGAGCCTACCAATCCTGCTTGGCAGGGTCACAAAAATGGTAAAAACAGAAAAGCACTAGACTTGGAGTCAGAAAAACTATCACCCTTGCCTTTGCCTCTCCCATGCTAGAAGACCTTTGAAAAGTCATTAAACTCTGAGGTTTCTTCACTCTGTAAACTGGGGATAAGGAATACAAATATGAATTACAACTGTGAAGATGGACTAAGGTATGTAAGGGCGCTCTAGAACAATCCCTAGCAAGCTAAATGTTCAACTATTATTTGTTAAAATGACCCACACTTTTTAAGGAAAAAGATATTCTAATACAGAAAAAAATATGCACCCTAAACTCAAACCCATCTCACAGTCGAACCTCCTAAGTGATGAATGGAGTAACAGGAGGAGGTTAACACTAATGGCAGATCTCAGTCCTCCAGAAAAGAAAGCTTCTAGTACTGTGTTGCTGAGGCTTTAAATGAGATAGGGTAGTGCCCCCTTATCCTCGCCAGTGGATGACTGAAACTGCAGATAGTACCGAGCCCTCTCTGTGACTTTTTCTCTACATCCATCCCTGTGGTAAAGTTTAATTTATAAATTAGGCACGGTAGAGATCAAAACAACAATAAAATAGAACAATTATTATAATAATATACTGTAATGAGTTATGTGAATGTGGTCTCTCCCTCTCAGAATATCTTCTTGTACTGATACTCACCCTCGTCATGATGGAAGATGCTAAGGTGCCTATGCGATGAGCTGAAGGGAGGTGAATGACCAGGCACTGTGAGAGGCATTAGGCTACTACCGACCCTCTGAGGATCCATCAGAAAGAGGACCATCTGCTCCTGGACCGCGGCGCACCGCGGGTAACTGAGCCACAGGAAATGAAGCTGCAGACAAAGGGACTACTGTCATGCTTGTGAGGAAATTGGTTCAGAGGCCAGAAACTGTTTCTATAAAGCAACCAAATAGTCGACAGGCTCTCTGTGAAACATGATCACCACCTCAAGTTCTTTGAAAGATAAATTTCTGTAAAAAGACCTCAGAAATTAAAAGAAAGGACAAAAATCTCATCTAGAGTACCTTTTATTTCTAAAAAGCATCTCTTAAAATAATTTCAAAATTCTGTGCATATGACACTTGTCCATGTCATGCCGTTAGGGAAAAAAGGCAAGGATCAGGCATTACTTTTGTATTATTATTAGAATTAGCACAAAGGCTGTGGACATTAATTTCCACAAGAAATTAATGGTAGCTGTGGTTCAAAAAACCCCGTCTCCGGGCTCACTGTTTATTCCCCCAGGACAAACCCAGGGAGCTGCTGCATTTGATAGAGGAGATGGTAAGAAACACAGGCGAGGGCAGGTGTCAAGGAGGCCTTTGTGTAGTCAGTGTGTGAACCAGCTGGCCAACAGTTGCTTTTTGGTTTCTAGAAAGCTTTCTAGAGGACAGTGATGATCACAAGAGTCCCCTAAGGCACACTGTAGATACTGACTGACTTCTTTGGGCCCAGAATTATTATTATTTTAATACAGAGAGGATAAAATAGCATTCTTTAATTCTGGTATTTTTCTCAAGAAATCTTCACTGGCTTTTTGACAAGTTTTCAGAAATCATTACATACACTAAAGCAATTAAGAATTCTAGAGGACTTACACAAACTTTTCCTGAATAGTTCAAAGAATGAGGAACGATAAATGGTGATATTTTTAATTCCACACTTGAGCTCCATAAACAAGTTGGATTTATTCTGAATCTGCCTTTTACTTTAGATTCAGATGTAATATAAGTTAGGAGGGGGAGAAGAAATGGCCTACTACCAGCGCCATCAAAAAAGAGGGAGGTGGGAGGTTGAGAAATAACCTTTTTTTTTTTTTCATAGCAAAAGTAGCTGCTGTAAGAAGCAGTCCTTACTAGGGTACTACCTTCCACTGCCAGAGGCAGAGGATAAGGAAGTAAAGAAGGAATGGGGTGGGGCGCCTGGGTGGCTCAGTTGGTTAAGCGACTGCCTTCGGCTCAGGTCATGATCCCGGAGTCCCGGATCGAGTCCCGCATCGGGCTCCCTGCTCGGCAGGGAGTCTGCTTCTCCCTCTGACCCTCCTCCCTCTCATGCTCTCTGTCTCTCATTCTCTCTGTCTCAAATTAAAAAAAAAAAAAAAAAAAAAATCTTAAAAAAAAATAAATAAATAAAGAAGGAATGGGGACACTGACATGACATGTTCCTATTACTCGGAACTAACAATGAATCACTCTAGAGAAAGCCAATGGAAAAGAATATTAACCATTACCCAGGAAGATAAAATGCGCCGGATCACTTTGGGTTAATGTTCAACAGATGGGATGATAAACCGCACGTGGCAGCTCCTTCTGTGGAGAACACAGACCCAAATATCCTAAGCCACAGATGGCCTTTTAGTAGCTCCAAAATGAACCTGGCTTCTCTTAGTACTTAAATGTGTCTTAGCTAATGGATTTGAGGATCCAGAGTTTAAAAGTGTGAACATTGGAAGGAAAAAATTTTATTATAAAAGAAAAAAAAAATCAAGATAGCTCACCAGTTTGCTCTTACCCTATGCAAACACAAAAGTAGCAATTAGAATACAGAGTAACCCAATGTCTGAGCCAACTGTCAGAGTCCAAGGAGGAAAATAATCTTTACTGCATTAATCCCATTTCCCCCCACTCACTTCTAGCTATCCTAATCAAAGTGCACCAAAACCCTTAAAAAATATCACTCCCTAAGACACTAAAACTCAGAACATAAAGACACATTGCATGATAAAACTGAACAGACAAACACACTTCAGACCTTTCCTCGACCAACTTTTAAATAGTATTGCTTTAGGGAGAAGATTTCATTTAAAAAAAATAAATTTAAAAAAGAAAGCACATTTAAAACATCAAGTTTTGGTGATCAGGATAGTAAAGTAATTTTATTACAAATTTCAGGATCTAAAAAGTAATTTGTTACATTTACTGAGATAAATCTGAGATGACCTGTATCAAGCATGTGTGTCCTGCATGGTGACACTGACCCTCACTCATGAAAAGACACAGTCCCACCCCCCCATTAGGGATGGGATCAGCCAGATGAAAGAAAGTTATGCTGATTCTCAACTAGCACATACTGATTAGAATCATTTTGGTTTATCACTCTGGCATTTGGACTGTAAAGAGTTCAGGGAAGAAGTCTTATTCTTGAACTCTGAAAGCCAAATTAGAATCTCAAGAAATTCAAGCTTCTCTTTTCCTACTTTTTATTTCAATGGTATTTAGGGAGATTTTCTGTATAACTCTTATTGAGTTATGATTCAATTGGTCTGTAAGCCCAAGTATGAAAATCCTTATCACATGGGAAGAGACCGCAGAGAGGCTGGTTGACCAGTAAGAAGACTGAGGCCAGATAAAGGGAAAACACACAGCCCAGATTATAGACAGTGACCATCCAGCAACAGAGATGCTGCCAGCAAGTAACCATAAGCTCAGAAGGGTGGCCACACACAAAAGGGCCAGAAGACACTCGTCCATCTAAGTCATCCTGCTTATAAATGAGACAAATACCGCTCTCTAGCCAGCTACTTGCCCTCGCATCCACAGGCAGGGAACCCTAGGTCTCTTTTATATTTATTTTTTTTAAGTTGACTAACGGCAACATCTTTACAAGGTGGAGCTGGAGAAGCATCAGGGACTTAACGGGTGCGGACCAAGCACTCTCCCATGGGGCCTTATAAAGCACCTGGGGGTGAAGAGGAGCCGTGTAGTACCTGAGAGGCAGCTGAGACATAGGGGAGAGCACCCTCATGCTACAGGACCGAGAAGGTGGGGAAGAAAAGAGGAGCCACAGAGGAATGGCTGCAAAACACAGCATGTTCACCAGGAAAGATGAAATTCCAGGGGCAGGAACAAATCAGTAGCTGAGGAGCCCACAGCTAAGCCCTTTTTTTGCCTGGGAATTTCTATCCCAGATTCTCCTAAATTAACCCTTTCCCTCTGGAGCTGTGGCTCTCCACGGGAACAATTTTGCCCCCGGAGGACATTTGGCAATGTCAGGAGACATTTCTGATTGTCACAACCGGGGGAAGGGTGCTACTTGTATTTAATGGGTAGAGGCCAGGGATCTTGCTAAACATCCTACAGTGCAAAGGACAGCCTCCTACAACGAAGAATTAATCATGATGTCATTAATGCCAAGGTTGAGAAACCCTGTTCTAGAGGGAGTGCCTGACGCATAAGATTCTGAATTTAGCAGGAGCCAAGGCCCTTGGAACTTAAAATCAGACAAACGTGAATGCTCTCTACCCGAAGCCCTACTATGTGAATCAATCTACTGCCTTGTTGAGCAGAAGTCCCCCATTATCCCAGAGTGTTCCACAAATGTCCAAATCAGCTGTTGGTGGTTCAAATTCAGTCAGTACAGCTAAAACCTGACATCTTTTTTGTTTTCTTTCTCTTCTGAAAAATCTGCTATTTCTTTCTCAGAGCCAGGGCGACCCCAACTGCCACTGCCAGCATGGCGATGGCGGCAGCCCCTCCAAACAGCAGTATAGACTTGCCCTCAGACAGTGGGATGGCTTTCCCTTCTCCTGCAGGGGAGGGGCCTTCTCGAAGGCCCCCTCTCCTCACACGCATCTCCTCTTCACTCAGCAGTGTTGCTGTGGGTTCCAGTGTGGGGGTCACCTCCTCTTCCAGTTCAACAGATTCAACCGTTGCTGCTTTTGTCTTCAGCAAGTTCTCTTCTTCAGCAAGTTCAATGAACGAAGACGTAGCAGGGCTGACTGTCTCCACTGTCATCCCTTCTGTGTCGGGCTCCCTCATCTCCAGCAAGGAAGCAGCAGTGATATGTGGAAGCAAGGGAGCTGGTGCTTCCGGGAGCGCCTCCCGCAGCTCCTTGGTTGGCAGGATGACAGATGCCACGGCAGCCTCTTCCACGCTTTCAGGAATTTCTTCTTTCTCCACATGCACAATGTCAGAATTAGAAGAGTTGTTCTCGCTCTTCTCTCCAGCCCCGTTGCTATCTAAGCTTTTGACTTCTTCAGGATCCATTGCAATCTGCTGCCAGGACTCAGGACCTAGGGACACTGGGAGGCTTTCTGTGTGCCAACTCTGACTAGCTGACAGTGAAACAGGTAAGCTCTCTGACTGCCAAGAAGTAGTCACAGTAGGAGACTCTGGAGGACTGACTTGTCCAGAGTTGTCACTGGGCAGGATATAAATGTCATTGCTATCTTCGGCAACAATTCCAGGGTATTCCTCCTCCTCTGATTCAAGGTTAAAGACAGTGCCCTAGAAAAGGAGGAGAGTCAATACAAAGAATGGTAAATACATTTAAAGTAAATATAAATCTTGGATGCCTGGGTGGCTCAGTCTGGTTAAGCATCTGCCTTTGGCTCAGGTCACGATCCCAGGGTCCTGGGATCAAGCCCTGCACTGGGCTCCCTGCTCAGCGGGGAGCCTGCTTGTCCCTCTCCCTCTGCCTGCTGCTCCTCCTGCTTGTGCTCTCTCTCTCTGATAAATAAATAAATAAATAAATAATAAAAAAAAAATATATATATATATAAATACATATATAAACATGCATATATATCTGGGGGTGCCTAAATCGGCTAAGCACCCGACTCTTGGTTTTGGCTCAGGTCGTGATCTCGGTGGTGGGACCAAGCCCTGCGTCGGGCTCCATGCTCAGCACAGAGTCTGCTTGAGATTCTCTCCCTCTGCCCCTCCTGCTTGTGCGTGCTCTCTCTCTCTCAAACAAATATTTTAAAAAATAAATATAAATCTGGAAAAAAATTCTTTCCTAAACTGAAGTTCTAGAAATAAATACATTGTCTAAGCCTACGTAGTTTCTGAATTTAAGAATTTCCATGTAAACCGCTGTAGAGGAAGAATTTTTAACAACATCGTCCTTTGACCAGTTTCCTTGAAGCTAAAAAACCAAAATTTGATTTTTATATTTAATTCAATGTATGTATATTTGATGCAATAATTAATGTAAAACAGCAGAGAAAACAAAGACAAGAACCTTGCTCTTGAGGAATTTCTCACTTAGTAGGGCAGTGCTATCCTGCAGTCCAAGTGCTAGTAAGAGTTCAGATGGGGAGATGCTGACTTCTTTTGGTGAAGGCTGCAGCAGGCAGGGAGATGACAGAGCTTCCTGGAGCATTTTAGCTATCTGAAGGATGGGTCAGGTTCCATGGTGAAAGCATGTACAAGATACGCCACCAGCAAAAGCCACAGAAATAACAAAGAGGGGAATAGTAAGTCACCCAGTTTAAGGAGTGCACAGTGTACATGACGAATAGAAGTTCAGTTGGGAAAGGGACCCTGGAAAACCTGACAGAGAGCTAAGAAATATGGACATGATTCAATACGAAGTGGTTAGTCAGTGGAGTCTTTCAGCTCCACAATGACAGTCACAGCTCCGCTTTAAAATTATGTGAGAGCAGTGGCTACAAGGAAGCCAAAAATGCAAGACTCGTTCTTCTCTCTTTAGGAAGACTCTTTACACCAAAGTAATAAAGATAAACAAAGCCAGTCTTTGTTTTCACACGTAGCAGTTTAGTTTAACAGGACCCAGCATGTGCTTGTGGCCTATTAGGTACCATGTTAGGCACCAGCATTATAAGGAAGAATGAGATGAGACTCCATTTCTGTTCTTAAAAAATTCACTGTCTAGATGTGAAGACTGACATATGAATAACTAATTTCAATAGGATACAGAAAGCTTTAAGACAGGTATATACACAGGACGGTAGGGGAGTCCAGAGGTTACAATGTGATCAGAAAAGCAGGAAGAGAGGCACCTAGCTGGCTCAGTTGGTAGAGCATGCGACTCTTAATCGTGAGGTCATGAGTTCAAGCCCCATGCTGGGTGTGGAGCCTACTTTAAAAAAATAAATAAAATATTAAAAAAAAAAAAAAAAAAGGCAGGAGGGCGCCTGGGTAGCTCAGTCATTAAGCGTCAGCCTTCGGCTCAGGTCATGATCCCAGGGTCCTGGGATCGAGCCCCACATCGGGCTCCCTGCTCTGTGGGAAGCCTGCTTCTCCCTCTCCCACTCCCCCTGCTTGTGTTCCCTCTCTTGCTGTCTCTCTCTGTCAAATAAATAAATAAAATCTTTAAAAAAATGGCAGGAAGAGAACCAATGGAGTGTAATGTTCATAAAGACCTAATGAAAGCTTTACAAAATGTCTGGATGACACTCGGACATGCTACGGAGAGTCTGAATAGGATTATGTAAAACAAATTAATTCCTATTTTATTTTGTGATTATAGCTGTTATTCTATGAAATAGAATAATTTTTCTATTTGAAGACCAAATAATTTGGTCTTCAATCAAGACCAAAAATTTTCTGTATACATTAAGACTCTAATATAAATCAATAGTCCCTCTATCAGCCCCACATAAAAGGAAACCAGAAAAACAACTGAACAAGTAACATGATCATAATGTCAATATTCTAACTGCCCCACATTTCACCTCAACCCTTGCTTTAATCTCTTGAAGAAGTCCTAGAGGTCATCAGGGATAGTCCATGGATGAATATAAGCAGAGAGACAAAATAGTAATTAAAAATACAATATTTGTAGGAAAAAAGAACTGGTTTGAACCCCAGCTCCACAGTAAATCTGAATGCTTTGCTTAACCATTTAAACCTCAATTTCTTCATAAAAGGAAGATGACTGGCAAGGTTGTTACAAAAATTAGATACAGTATTTATAGTGCTTAGCATAGCCCCTTGTACCTAGTAAGCAATCAATAAATTAGGCTGTGTTTTCATTATCATTGTTTTGGTTGCCGTTGTTTTTGTTGATGTGGTGGTGGAACAAAGAGCTACTCTAAAACACCTAGCCTAAAAAAAAAATTTTTTTTTTTAAAGATTTTATTTATTCATTTGAGAGAAAGAGAGACAGAGAGAGCATAAGCAGGGGGAGAGGCAGAGGGAGAGGGAGAAGCAGACTCCCCACTGAGCTAGGAGCCCGACGTGGGGCTTGATCCCTGGACCTGGAGATCATGACCTGAGCTGAAGGCAGACACTTGCCTAGCCATCTGAGCCACCCAGACGCCCCCCAACCAAAAAAATTTTTTTAAAAGATTTTATTTATATATTTGAAAGAGAGACAGAGATAGCGACAGAGAGCACTGGTCGGGGAGGGAGAGGGAGAAGCAGGCTTCCCGCTGAGCAGGACCCGGGATCAGGACCTGAGCCGAAGGCAGAGGCTTAACTGACTGCGCCACCCAGGTGCCCCTAGACTATAAATTTTTAAAACTGAAAGCAATTTGGGACGCCTGGGTGGCTCAGTTGGTTAAGTGACTGCCTTCGGCTCAGGTCACGATCCTGGAGTCCCTGGATTGAGTCCCGCATCGGGCTCCCTGCTCGGCGAGGAGCCTGCTTCTCCCTCTAACCCTCCCCCCTCTCATGTACTCTCTCTCTCTCTCTCATAAAAAAAAAAAAAAAAAAACTGAAAGCAATTTGAAACAATACCCTTCCCTTGGATAGAAAAGGTAATTAACAAACTTCTTCCTCCTTCCTCATCTCTTCTAAATAGAGGTATCACAAAAGTAAAATCTCTCTTTACAATAGTATACGTTAAACCAATATATGGGTTATTTCTATGGGATAGAACTGTAAGAAGTGTATTCTATACACTTTTTACAATGATCATGATTTAGTAAAAAAAAAAACTTTCAATTTTTTTTTTTTAAGAATGTACATATAAATTGGGGTCTGCTACCTCCTAGGAACTTGAGATTAGTGGATATTCAACAGTCTCAACATGAGCTGTGAAATAATTTGAGTCAGATGAAGAGAATCTCCTGCATTTCTTTTGTACAGGTCTCTAAAACAAAGGGCAGGGCATACCATTAGAAATTGGTGTTCTTTTAAAAAATCTTTTATTCGTTTTTTAGTATTGATATTTACATTCATAAAATTTACATAACCTAACATTCACCATTTTTAGGTGCGCAATTCAGTGGTTTTTAGTATATTCACGATGTGTGCAAACATCACCACTCTAATTCCTGAACATTTCCATCATCTCAAAGAGCAAGCTCCTGGCCAATCACTCCCAATTCCCCCACCTCCCTCCCCTGGGAAGTTCATATAAATGGAATCATACAGTATGTGGCCCTTCACGTCTAGGCTCTTCCACTGCACATAATGTTTTCAAGGCTCATCCATGCTGTAGTATGTATGGGTACTTCCTTTCTTTCTACGGCTTTGCAGTATTTTGTTGTATGGCTATACCACATTTTCTTTATTAATTCATCAGCTGGTTGACATTTGGGTTGTTTCCACCTTTTGGTGATTGTGAATATCCACAAAGTTTTTGTTTGACCACCTATTTCCAATTTTTTGAGGATATAGCTAGAAGTGAAATTGCTGGGTCATATAATTCTATGTTTAATTTATTGAGGAACTGCCAAACTATCTCCCAAAGCAACGGTACCGTTTTATATTCCTCCCAGCAATGTACAAGGGTTCCAATTTCTCCACATCCTAACACCTGTCACTGTCTGTTTTATTTTTTTATTTTTTAAAGATTTTATTTATTTATTTGACAGAGAGAGACTCAGCAAGAGAGGGAACACAAGCAGGGGGAGTAGGAGAGGGAGAAGCAGAGTCACCGCCGAGCAGGTAGCCCGATGCGGGGCTCGATCCCAGGACCCTGGGATCATGACCTGAGCCGAAGGCAGACGCTTAACAACTGAGCCACCCAGGCGCCCCTGTTTTATTTTTTTATTAGAACCATCCTACAGGGATGTGAAGTGATATCTTATTTTGGTCTTGATTTGTATTTCACTGATGACCAATGATACTGAACATCTTTTCATGTGCTTGGGGTCATGAGTTTGAGCCCCATGTTGGATGTAGAGACTACTAGAAAAAATTAAATAAATTTCCTGTGAAGTTGTATTTACCTACCTCTTTGCCAGAACACAATTCTTTTTTTTTTTAAGATTTTATTTATTTATTTGAGAGAGAGACAGCGAGAGCAGGAACACAAGCAGGGGGGGTGGGAGCGGGAGAAGCAGGCTTCCCGCGGAGCAGGGAGCCCGACACGGGGCTCGATCCCAGGTCGCTGGGATCATGACCTGAGCCGAAGGCAGACGCTTAACGACTGAGCCACCCAGGCGCCCCCAGAACACAATTCTAATTAGTCATGCAAATCCTCTACACTTGTTACAAAGGGATTTCTCTTTGCCAAATAATTTATACATGCAAAGGTTTATCTGTTTATTAAATCATCTCTTCAAGGAGCTCCATTGTGAAAACGAGAAATAAGGAATAATTTTACAAGGAGGGAAAAAGGTAGTAAAGTAGTAATAATATAAAGTAGCATGAAGTTCATAATTGTATTGACTTTGGTACACTTGTTTTATGTATTTGCTTTCTCAAAATCTCCAAGTGAGAAACTAAATATGGCTCAGCAGCTTTCAATCCTCTACCTTCAAGCTCTGCAAAGTAGTTAAAAAGAAGGGTAAGGAGGCCTTGCTGAAGCTTCAGTGTTAATTCATGGAAAGCAAACTACCAATGTCTTTCTGGATATAAAATAAGTATATGTTTTTATCTCATAGAGGGGAGTAGTTTCCCTGCACTCTTGCTGAGTCTGACAAAGATCTTGGTTTTACTGAAAAATGAATTCAACTTCCCCCACCCCCCAATATGGCAACTCTTAGACACCATTACTATAACTCAGAACAGAAGAGATGAATCTAAGGTAGCATCTGGCCATTAGATAAAGGCTCAGTTTGAATTTTATAGAACAGAGTAAGTAGTGCTACATTTGAAATTATTTCTAATTGTCTCCTTCAGTTAAAAAGCAAGAGGGCAAAGTCATACAATATTTAGAATAATATATTATTTCTTCTTGGGCACATTAAATATTTTCCCAGGAAACCAAATATAAATTTTTTTTAAAAAAAAGGCTGCAGTACAGGGAGGAGGTAAGGCCAATCTTCCCTTTCTTTTTTTTGTTATTTAAATTCAATTTAATTAACATATAATGTATTATTTGTTTCAGAGGTAGAATTTAGTGATTAGTTGCATATAACACCCAGTGCTCATTCCGTCAAGTGCCCTCCTTAATGCCCATCACCGTTCTCCCATCCTCCCACCCACCTCCCCTCCAGCAACCCTCAGTTTGTTTTCTATGGTTTAGAGTCCCTTATGGTTTGTCTCCTTCTCTGATTTTCATCTTATTTTTCCTTCCCTTCCCTGATGTTCATCTGTTTTGTCTCTTAAATTCCACATATGAGTGAAATCATATATTTGTCTTTCTCTGACTTATTTCGCTTAGCATAATACGCTCTAGTTCCATCCACATAGTTGCAAATGGCAAGATTTCATTCTTTTTGATGGCTGAGTAATATTCTTGTGTGTGTGTGTGTGTGTGTGTGTACACACACATCCCACATCTTCTTTATCCATTCATCTGTCAATGGACATCTGGATTCTTTCCATATTTTGGCTATTGTGGACATTGCTGCTATAAACAATGGGGTGCATGTGCCCCTTCGAATCACTATGTTTGTATCCTTTGGATAAATACCTAGTAGTTCAATTGTTGGGTGTTCTCTCCTTTCTATTCCTAGAGCCATTAGCCCAAATTTGTGTAATCACAAATTAGGTGTCCCATATAAGAGGGAAGACTTATCTTGGCAAGGTTGCTCATTGTTCCCTACAAACGCTGTACTAAATCCCCAAGCCCTGTCTTCTTATTCATGTAGATAATGGTGCTAACATTTTGAGGAGCAGAAAATATTTCACAAATATAACAAAAGATGTGAGACTTTTCTTTTAAAACTGCGCATTCACACAAAGCATACACACCATTTTAGGAGAAATTTCACACTCCCTGAAACTTATCCA